TTGTTCCCCTCCCTTTCATTTCCCCTTTTTCTCTTCCTGTTTTGTCTCGGGTGTTTCTCATGCTTTAAAGATTTTTATTCTCCTAAAATCTCCTGTCTAACCTATGGCATATTCTCTTTCTTCTAGATTAAATGGGTTTTTTTACAAATAAATCCAGAGCCTAACAAATCTAAACTTCTGCTTAGATACTTTGAAATGGTCGACGAGCTAACTCACGACCTCCTAATGTTGTTTTTCTCATCACCTTTTTATTTATCCTTTGGCAAATTAAGCATCTTTCAGTTTCTTGCTTTGCTACTCCAAAAATCCCAGTGCACCCATAGTTCCTTAAAAAATGATCACACAAAGCTTGAGTACCCCAGTGGGTTTTCTGATGCATGTCTTCTAATATTTTCCTAGTAAGCACATTTTATTAAGTAATTGTCTTCCATCAAGAAGTTTCCATTGCCCTGATTTATCTTGTTCACTTCCTGTCTTGTTTAATTCTTTTTTCTCGGCTTCCCTAAACTTAGGAATTTACAGTTTTTCCTCGTTTGGAGTTAATATTAACATAACTCACTCAGCTCCACTTTCTGCTGTATCCTTGGCTTCGTCATCTGCCAAATTATTTCCTCTTATTTCTGGGGTCTTTCCCTTTTGGGGTTCCTTAATATGTACTATAGCTATCTCTTTTAGGTAATTTTAATGCCTCTAAAACCTCTGAAATAAGTTCCTCATGTACTAAACCTTTTCCTCTTGAATTAAGGAATCTTTTTCCTTTCCAAATTTTTAAAGGTATGTACTACGCTAAAGACATACCTTCAATCAGTATATATGGTTCCTTTATTTTGTGTTAAATATTCTAGTGCTCTTTTTAAAGTATATAATTCACGAGTTTGAGCTTACTAGTTTAAGGTTAATTTCCCTTTTTCCATAGTTTGCATGTTGTTCCCATCAACTACTACATACCCTGTACTTTCTCCTTTTGCAAGGAGTTGTATCTCTGTTACCTAACATAACTCCCAAAGGGCTATTTTTTTTTCTTTTTTTCCCCCTGTAATCCAACTTACTGGTTTTCTGTCTCATTTTTCAAGATCTTATCTATTCATCATCTGCCTCTGTTTTTCACTTTCACTAACAACCTAAATACCACTTTTCTTTCAACTACACACTTAAAAACAAAAAACCTTTTTCTCACACTACTTTCAGTGCAATACACCTCCCTCCAAGGAGATATAGTGAAGCTTAAAATGCACAATCTACATTACATATACTTTCATTTGTCTACATTCACTCGCTTCTATTTCTCATTCACTTCCACACATTCTTTCACACGCTCAGGACACAAAGTGGATCCCTGTTGACAGAGAATCGCGGCTCCCTGTGGCCCCCTCCCCTTGGCGTTGGCCTCTGGGTCTCAGTATCTCCCGGCCTCCTGGGAGGGCCCTGACTCTGCTGCCTCCGGTGCCCGTTCACCTGTGAGGCTGATTTGTGTCACTCACACTCTTCAGCTACGGCCCCCTCACAGGCCCGGGGGGACAATGGCCCGTTTGCAGTCACACACATGCTCTGCCACAGCCCCCACCCACCCAAGGGACAATGGCTTATTTGTGGGTCACACACACCTCTTTCCACAGCCCCCCCTTCCCACCTGCCCGGGAAGCTGAGGCTGATTTTGTGTGTGACTCACTCTCACACACAAACAAGACAACAATAAGGTACCTTTTACATTCACATCACCTATTACAAGTTTAGGTGTTTCTGGTCAGTCCCGGTGCTCTTGGATATCCCTCAACCCAGCTGTGTTGGCCAACCCCAGGTGCTCTTGGGTGTAGGAGCGTCGGGGGGTAGGACGGTCGGGACGGACGGAGACGAGAGATCTCTGCAGCCAGGCCCTGGAACTTGCGGTTTATTGCAAAGGGCCCGGGTGCAGGGCCCTGCTTGGAGCTGCCAGGCACAGCTCGGAGCAGGCCCGAGAGAAGAGAGGGGTAGAGAGGATGAGAGGGTGAGAGAGTAAAACGTAAGAGAGCAAAAGCGTAAGAGAGTAAGGTTCCCATTACAACACAATAAATCTTCTTTTGTGTCGAATGTTCTATTTCTCAACAGCCAATCTAGTACAAGATGCACGTCCTATAGCATTTACATACAGCCTGTAAGAATCATTACATTACCACACTGTGTTACATTTTAAACCGTAAAAACTCCTCTTTGGACCCCTTCTGCCAAGCTGGCAGGATCTGCTCTGACCCTTGGATCTGTCTGCAAGCAGAGGGTATTGTTTCATTAAAAGGGGATTACCTTCAGTTGGGCCACACCATTGTTTTCCAGTTGTTCAGTAACTGAGGTATCTCAAAGCTTGCTTTGATTTCAATCTTGCTTATAGTTTCTATATTGTCAAAATCTTTTGCCAGACAATCATATTTATAAGGCTTTCCTGTTTCATCTTCCCCAACACTTGGGCATTTTTTTATTTCTCAATCCACCTGTGTTGTCCAATCCCAGATGCTCTTGAGCATATCCTCAATCCGGCAGAATTTTGCTTAACCCTGAATGCTCTTGGAATCCCTCAGCCCAGCAGGTTTCAATTCTGGATGATCTTGGGCACTCTTATCCCTCAACCCAGCAGGTTTTTAGGAGCCCCTTTTGTCCCATTTCCTAGTGGATTGGGCTAGGAAACTCCTCTGCTCCCTTCCTCCGAGGGGTCCAGCCCCTCTCTGAGACCCAGTCCCAGTTACCCCGGGGGATTCTCTCACTCCTTTTAACATTCACTTTGTCTCTTTACTGGCCACTTACCGCGGAAAGTCAGAAACGCAGCATGGGAGACTCCAGCACTCACTTGGCAGGTCTGGCACAACCAGCCCGCCTCTCATTCACTCACATTCATCCCCCCTGAGAAATACTTACCAATCCCTTTTCCTTCCCATGTTCTTCGTGTACATTACTACTCTTAGGGGGCCAATTGCCATGGTTGTAGGGAGCCTTTTTCCCTTGTCTTTGTTTTATTGTCTCCTTTTGTCCACCATAACCTGCGTCTGTCGGTCACCCCAGGGCAAACAGAGCGAGGCTGCTGAAGAGGGCAGGGGGCACCTTCCCCACTCTGACTCTCCTAAAGCACCGGCAGTGAGGTGTTGGTAACCATCCTCTGCTACCATAATTGTGAAAAACGCCAATCACTTGTTTTTAAAATTTTTAAGGTTTAATAGTAATAAAATGGTTATAAAAATAGTAATACAATTAGAGTAATAAAAATTTGGACAATTAGGATTTAGGACAATACAAGACAATGGAAACAAAGAGTTACAAATGGCTCGGGTACCTTTTCCTGGGCAAAGTAAGCCCAAAACAGGACACACGTTAATAGAGGATTAACTGTGAAAAACCATAGCCCATTACATATTTGTACATCTCATACGTGATACATAAATTCCATTCCAACAAAGGATTCTGTCTGGTCAGTGTCAGCTTCTTCCTCTTCATCCTGATGGCATCTTCAGGGCTGAGCAAGGCAGGAACAAGTTCATTTCTTCTGATAATTGAGCAATAAAATATTCTTCTCTGAAAGATTTAGGTGTCCTGTGGCTGCTATCTGGTGTGAGTCCTCATTCCTTTTTTAAAAAACTATCCCACATACATAAGTTTCTATTTTAACATTATGTTATAACCTAAAACTACATTTAACACACTACTTAAAAAAATTGTTACAGCATAACTTCCTAACATAACATGTATAATACTCATTTTAATGTTTGTGAAAAGCCAATCATAGACATTTTTCACACGGGCTCTGTCAGCAGCAGTGGAAAGAGCAGCCTAAGAGCAGCGGCTCCAATTGCCTTCCTCCAAAAACCTGAGAGAGGGACAGAAAACTGAGAGAGGGCCAGCAACTGCGCCCAGCCCCTACCCCCAGCCTGAATCCTCCGGCATCTCTGCACCCTTCCCCCGTCCCCCCCCTCCCCCGCTCCTGGGAAAACTCCCAAAAAAACAGAGGTCCCAAGCACCCAGCAATCAGCTCTCATCAGCAACTCAACCCTAACCCTAACCTTCTGACAGCTGCTAAGTTTTCTGCAAAATCATTCATTTCTCCAAGGACCCAAACCAAATCCTTAGAAGAAAATCTGGATCCTTCCATGTACAATCTGTATTTCCCAGGTGTTCCTTGCTCCTCGTCCCTGTGCTCAGGGTGCCCTCCCCAGCCCGTATCCCAGAGCCGGTCCCTGTCCTGCCGCAGTGTCCAAAGGCGCCCCCCGGCGGGCAGGGCCGGCAGCTCCACGGGGCCGGGCAGCGGCCGGGGCGTCCCGCAGCCTCCTGGGGGCCGGGGGCCACTGCCGGCCCTGCCCGGGGCTGGTGGGGTCAGGCAGCGCCCGGCGCTGAGCCCCGGCTGCCCCACAGCCCCGGCCCGGCCCCGCAGCTCCCCCCAGGCCCCCAGCCCGTGCTCCCGGTCCCGCACCTCTGCGCCCGCTGCTGCCGCTGCCCCCCACAGAGAAACCCCCTGAAACCCTGACCTCCTTGTTTTCCTCTCCGGGAAACCGGGGATACAAATGATCAGCTGGCAAATGTTGAGGATAAGACCCTGCTGAAAAACATCCCAGTCCTCAGTATTTTTCTCTTCCTTCTCTTTTCCATCATCCTTTTCCTTCCCACAAAGATTCCTCCTGCGGCTTTTTGCCTTAAGCATATTGCTGCACACTCCCCCTCACCCAGTCCCTTTACAGCACACCAACACCATCCATGCCCTGTTCTCCAAATGCGAGGGGAATTTGGGGAGGTGGGAGTGGGGCAGCGCCAAGGCCGGGCCCCCCCCCGCGCTGTCCTGGCGGGAGCGGCTGCAGTGGGGACCGAGTGCGGGCGGGAGCGGCCGAGAGCCCAGCGCTGCCCCAGCCCGACCTGCCCCAGCTCCATCCCTGCCCCTGCCGTGGGATGCTGTGGGTCTGGGGGCAAGAGGGAGCCGGCAGCGGGTGCTGGGCCTGGGGCAGGAGGAGAAGGGAAGGAGAAGCAGGGTTGAGGAACAAAAGGGCCAAACGATGCCCGTGGGAGGAGAAGGTGGGATTGTGCAGGAGAAGGAGGAATAGCAGGAGGAAGAGGAGTGTGAGGAAGAGTGGGGACACCGGAGGAGGAACAGGAAGAGGAAGCAGCACAAGGTTCCACCTCTCCCTGTATCTGCAGCCTCTGACCCCAGCCCCAGGAGCGTTGCCCCCCCCACATGCAGCAGGTGACCGGGGATTAGGATCCACAATTTTCCCGGGGGTGAATCTTGGTGTTTCTGACCTTTCTTGGGCTAATTGTTGGTGTTTTGTTTTTTTGTGGGGGCTGAATCTTTATATTTGGAGGGGGCTTTTGCTGAATGTTGATGTTTTGGAAGTTATTGATCTGTGTCTTGATGTTTGGAGGACTTTTGTGCTGAATTGTGGTGTTTTGGAGGTTCTTAGAGACACAAGATGCCCAATGACCTAATGAGATGAACTTGGGCAAGGAGGAACTCCCAGTCCAAGGCACTCTCATCTTGTTTTTTTCTCCAAACCAGGATTTTTCATTCCTAGGGCGTGTCTGGATGGAGGAGGAGGAGGAAAAGCCCTGGAGATTCCGCACGAGGAGGGGCTGCAAACCCAGCCCAGGGAGCTGCAGGGAGGAAAGAGCCCCCCTGAGCCAGGAAGGCGGCCAGAGATCCAGCCAGAGCTCAGAGCTGGTGGAGAAGCCTCATGGCTGGGAGAAGCCCCACAAGTGCTTGGAATGTGGGAAGGGTTTTAGTCGGAGCTTAGATCTGATCCAGCACCAGGTGATCCACACTGGGGAGCAGCCCTATGAGTGTGAGGAATGTGGGAAGCGTTTCAGCTGGAGCTCCAGCTTGAGGCAGCACCAGGTCATCCACACTGGGGAGAGGCCCTTTGAGTGTGGGGAATGTGGGAAGAGCTTCAGGCAGAGGGGCCAGCTGATGCAACACAAGATGATCCACACTGGAGACCGGCCTTATGAGTGTGGGGAATGTGGGATGAGCTTCTGCCAGAAGGGGAGCCTGATGCAACACCACAGGATCCACACTGGGGGAAAGGCCTATGAGTGTGTGGAATGTGGGAAGAGCTTTAGATACAGCTCTGGCCTGAGGAAACATGAGAGGATCCACACTGGGGAAAAACCCTATGAGTGTGGGGAGTGTGGGGAGTGTGGGAAGAGCTTCAGCATCAAGTGCCAGCTGACGGAACACCAGAAGATCCACACTGGGGAAAAGCCCTACAAGTGTGGGGGATGTGGGAGGAGCTTCAGAGGAAGCTCAGCATTGATTCGGCACCAGGTCATCCACACGGGGGAACGGCCCTACACCTGCTTGGAATGTGGGAAGAGCTATGGGTGGCACTTTGACCTGAGAAAACACCAGGGCACCCACACTGGGGAGAGGCCCTACGAGTGTCCTGAGTGTGGGAAGAGGTTTCACAGGAGCTCCGATCTCCTCAAACATGAGCGGATTCACACAGAGGAGAGGCCCTTCCGCTGCCCCGACTGTGGGAAGGGCTTCAAGCAAAACTCCACCCTCACCCTGCACCGGCGCATCCACACCGGGGAGAGGCCCTACGAGTGTGGGGAGTGTGGGATGAGATTCTCATTGAGCTCAACTTTCACCCAACACCAACGGAGGCGCCACTAAGGGAAGCCCTGTGAGTGCCCCAAATGTGGGAAGAGCTTTGTGCGCTGCTCCAGCTCCATCCCCCATGAGAGGATCCGCATCGGATGATCCCCAGTGACCCCCATTGGGCAGAGCCCTGATGATCCGTGGTCCTGGTGATCCAAGTTGGAAGGCATCTGGCTGGGGGGCTCCACATCTTCCTGGTTCTCTGAGGATACCTAGATAAACCCAGAGGCAGGAACCTCCATCAGGATGCAGGCCTACAATGGGAATTCCTTGGGAAGAGCAGATTTGTCGAATTTCAACCCCATAAAATCTTTTGCATTCAATCCTATCTTCTGGTGACATCAAGGAGTACTGAATGGTCCCTGAGGTATATTCTGGGTTGACTATTTGGTGCTTGTATCCCCAGTCTGTTCTGTTTATGCTGAATAATAAGTTTTACACCTTCAAGACCTGTCCTGAGAGTGAAGGGGTAGAGAAGCAGCATGCAGTTTGTTTTCAGAAACTGCACTTGCTCCTCCACATTCCTGCTCTGGGACTGTGTTGTCTGTGGATGGACAGACAGCGGGACAGAGCTCTCCTTTGCTTTTAGTTAGTTTTAGCTAGCTGAGCCAAACAAGTTCCTGAACTGTGGTGTTTTTTTCCCTTTTCTTTGGACCTGTTTAAACCTGCTCTGGCCTGAACACCAGAAGAGCACGGGCAGCTCACACCTGTGGCCCACCGGGCCGGGCCTGGGCCACGGCATTTCCAGCACCAGAGGGACTGATAAGGGACTGAGTGAGCTGAGCTACAGCCCACAGAGGGACTTGGTGAGTTTGTCTCTCAAAGAGGTTTTAGAGCAGCAAGAGGTTTTACTGTTTTGTTATCTTTATTGAAAGATAAAAATATCCATTCCAGAATATGCAGTTGATCTTCCCAGTTATCACTTCATTGACACGGTATTCCACACGGTATTTAATGATCCTTCAAAATAAACACTTGAACACCAACATAGGTATCTAATCTGTTAACAAATGTGTGTGGTAAGGCTAATTCAATTTCTTCTAGGGTCTTTGCCGCTGGGGTCAGTTGCCTCTCATCAGTAGAGGAGGTGGTGCCTGACAGCAAATCATGCAATAGTTGCATCTGATGATTAGTTATGCCTAAATATGATCTAATCCAACCTATTAAACCAACCAATTTCTGTACATCAGTAGCAGTTTTAACATCAATGTCTAACTTCACAGGTTGAGGCATAACTTGAGTGTTAGTCACTAACATACCAGTATTTCCAAGGCATGTGTTCCTGCACTTTCTCTGGGGCAATGATCAGACCAAAAGCTTTCAAATTTGTCACAGCACATTGTTTAAGAGCTGATAACTGTTGTTTGTTATCAGATATCAAGATATCATCCATGTAATGATAACAGCAGCAGTTATTAAATTGCTCCTGCACTTTTGACAAGACCTGTGCCACAAACCATTAACAAATAGTTGGCGAATTTTTCATGTCTTGGGGAAGTACCCTCCATTGATATCTTTTATTGGGTTCAGGGTTCAGCATGATTATGGAAGGCACAGTAAAAGCACATTTTTCTTTGTCTTGCCCAGCCAATGGAATAGTGAAGAAACAATCTTTCAGATCAATGACAACTATTTGCCATTCCTGTGGAATCATTGTAGGTGTAGGAAGGCCTGGTTGTAAAGCTCCCATTGTTGCCATTACAGCATTTATCTGCCGTAAATCATGTAAAAGTCTCCATTTTCCCGATTTCTTTTTTATTACAAAAACAGGGGTATTCCAGGAATATTTCAATATTTCCTGCTTGAAATTGTTCTGTGACGAATTCTTGCAGGGCAGTAAGCTTTTCGCTAGAAAGGGGCCACTGGTCAACCCAGACAGGTTTATCTGTCAAGCATATCAAGGCTACAACTGGACATTCATTGCCCTGCATCACAGTGGCCCCCATTAAAAATCCGTAGTAATTTTGACAGCCCATTGAGATAAACAATGTCGTCCCCACAAACTTTGAGGAGCATCGGCAACATAGGGTCTGATGTTAGCTTGTTGGCCATCAGGATGTTTCACATTAATTACAATGGCTGACAGGCCACCTGTTGTAGCACCACCCAACCCCAGAAGTCCAAAACTTGCATGAGTGAGAGGCCACGATTGAGGCCAGCAAAGTCACGAGAGTATTGTGACATCTGCTCCAATGTCAATCAAGGCTGTTAATGATATGGTTCCTGGATGACATCCACTGGCAGTGAGGATGCATGTCTTTTCTGAATGGTTCTCCGTAACTTTCTCAGCCCAGAACACTTGAGGTATCCCTGTTGATCCAAAACTTCCTGTGCCACGACTTCGGTCCACTGTATTTGGAACAGAACTCACAATAGGTACGAGTTGAGCAATGCAAGTTCCTTTCTGAATAGTGACAGGAGGGTCATCAATGGATACCATAGCATGAATCTGTCCTAAATAATTAGCATCAATAAGTCCTAGATGCACATGAATACCTCTAAGTGTAGTTCTTGATCTTCCCATCAAAAACGCACTCAATCCCCATCCTATTGGACCATAGGCATCGAGGGGCACTTTGCACATTTCTTTTGTCAGAATGGTTACTGTGTCAGTGGTGGGTATATAAATCCCTGCAGACCCACTTGTTGCCCCTGAGTATTGTTCACAAATGTTTAGCTTTGCAGTGCTGGGGAGGCCCGCATTTGCTGCTGTGGTTCTTGGGGTATTTGTTTTCCCACATGCCCCTTTGCGCTCTTCTTCCTGTTTCCCTGCAACAGCTGACCATTTGCATGATATTTACTCCTGCATTGTTTAGCATAGTGCCCAAATTTAGCACAATGGTTGCACATAACGTTGCTGCTTGCATTTGATTTAGATGTTATTTTCTGGGTATTACACTGTGCCATTACTTGCCCTTGCTGTCCACAATTATAGCATTTCGATGAAGGTCTTAGAACTGCAGCAAGAGCTGCTATTTTATGGTCTACTGAACCAACTTTTGAGCAAGCAGTAATCATTTGAGGCAATGTGGGTTCTCCAGGTAAAGTGTCAATAATCTTTCTGCAGCCTGAGTTTGCATTTTCTTTAGCCAAATGTGTACAGAATTTGTGTTGCAAAGATTCATCATCTACCTGTTTTTCAATGGCTGCAGCAAGCTCTTCTACAAATTGCAAAAATGGTTCTCTCATCTCTTGTTGTATAGTATCATATCTCTGTTTTGGAGCTGCCATTTCCATTGATTTAATTAAAGCACTCGTGCCAATTTGCTGAGCTTGTGCCAAAATTGAAGGATCCCACCTTGCCTGTGAATCTGGGCTAGCAAAAGGCCCAGTGCCCAGTAGGGCATCAACACCCACAGCATGATGAGGGTCGTGTTGAGGCAACTGCATATTTGTTACAGCTGTCTGCTCAGCCACTTGCCTCCAAGTTTCTTGAAATACACCGTATTGTACTGGCTGGAATGAAATAGTAGCAATATGCATGATGTCATAAGGTGCAAGCATATCTGCATTAATTACACATATTAATTGCATTACTTCTGAGGAATTAATGCCATACTGAGCCACTTTCGATTGGAGATCTTGCACAACCTTCCAGACAAAGACGTGATGACTGTCATCCTGCCCTGTTCCAGGAGCTGCTTTAAAACCTGGAAAAGCCATAGGGTTATCACAGGCAACATTTGCATTAGCACTGTTCTCCTGAGGTACTCTTGGAGCACCTAATCTTTCTATCAGGTCCCAATTCTTTTCTTCAGCTGCTTTCTTCCTAACAAATTCCCAAAACTCCTTAGTGTCCAGGTTTAGAGCAAATTTGGGAGAGAATCCCCCAAAGGAGCTCCAGTAGGAAAGCAGATCCAATCTGCTCTTCTCCCCCCAACTGGTCTGGGAGAAAATACCTCCTTGGAGAAAGGTGGAAAAAACCTGTCTATTAAACAACAAAACCTTAACAATATCAAACAATAAATTCTCTTGCCACTCCAAAAGAGATGACAAACTGAGAAAGTCCCTCCCCGGGTTGTGGCTCAGCTCACTCTGTCTCTGATCAGTCCCTCCGGTGCTGGAAATGTTGCAGGCCAGGCCCGGCCTGGTGGGCCACAGATGCAGCTGCCCGTGCTCCCCTGGGTGTTCAGTCCAGAGCGGGTTTCAAGAGCTCCAAGGAAAAGGGAAAAAAACAAAAGTCCCCACAGTAGGGAACTTCTTTGCCTCAGCTAGCTAAAACTAACTAAAAGCAAAAGAGAGCTCTGTCCCACTGTCAGTCCATCCGCAGACAACAACAGTCCAGGGGCAGAAATGTGGAGGAGTGAGTACGGTGTCTGAAAAAAACCTGCTGCTTCTTCTCTCCCGCTGCTTCACTCTCTGGAACAGTCTTAAAGGTGCAAAACTTATTATTCAACATAATATAAGGTGCAAAACTTATTATTCAACATAACATAATTGGGGATAAAAGCATCATATAGTCAACCCAGGACACTGAGGCTGTCAAGGAAGCCCAGTTACTTGACGTGGGGGCAAAGTCCATGGGGCAGTAGGGCTACAGCTATTAGAAGGTGAACTGTCAACAGTTCCCTGCCCCAACTCAGATGTTACTGCGGGCGACTCATCACTTGATTCGCTGTCGCTGTCACTGTCAGGTAACGGAGGACACGACCTTGCAGATTGTTCAGGCAGCTCAGAGGGGAGCGAAGGGGCAGATGGCTGGGCTAGAGCAGAGGGAAGCAGGGGGGCAGAAGACTGGGTTTCTCTCTCTGCTAAAGACATTTCAGCTACCTGGTGCAGTGGTGTGGTGTATACAGGCACCATCAGGAGCTGCTGCGCAGCTGTGACATAAAGAGGTTTAGGAGTCTGAGAAGGAGATACTATGGCAGTTTTCCCAGAAGCTTTGGCAGCTTTCCCAGAAGATTTGGCATCCAGCCCAGAAGCTCTGGCAGCTTTC